TTTCACAATTCGTTTTTCACAATTTGTAGACAATTTTTGAATACTTCAAAAATACATGCATATATATACAAAGCAGACTTTATGGAGCATTTGTTCAAAAAATGGTCTCGTAAAAGCTGTCAGACATGATAATAAAAGTGGCTGCTATTTTGTAGATTTCGCGACAGTAGTGTAAGTACTTTTTTATCAATTAATTTGATTTTGAATTAAAATTAAAAAAAGGATATGAAAAATACGCTAAGCTCTTATTACTAAATTCAGAGATGCGGAAACGGTTTGTCAAAGTCTGGAAAACAATACGTTGGGTTTCCAGGTGATCGTCGGTAAGAAGAAAAAGACTGCCAGTGCTCCAATACCTCCAGACCTAGCCACTCAAAGTACTCAACAAGAGAATCGTACTTGCCTTTCTTCAGAAAAATTGTCTCCCCATCTTTATGCTGGTGCACAACAAGCTTTAGACCGCAATTTTCAAAATGGATTCATTTTTAATGACGATATACATACTTTTGATCCTAAGAATAAGGGTAATACAAACGCATGCATTGATTCTGAAGGAGGACACATAACGTAAGAACTCTTTGATTTTCTTCTATTAATTTTTTTATTTTTATTTAATATTAGCCTTTCTCTTTCGAAAATTGTTTAAATGATTCAACTACCTTCTTGTGGTGCAGGATATATTGAACTCGTGAGGATGTATTTAACCCGCGGATGGGCCTACCTTCTGTTATGCCAATCGCTTGAGAAAGTGACAAGCTTGTCTCTCACACACAGGTCGTAATTTTTGCGATACTTTCACGAAATTTAGTGCACTGACATATTTTGATCCAAGGGCGAGCGCTGTTGCAAATGACTCGGATAGGTCTACTTTTTCGACGCCATTTAACACCGTACTTGAAAAATTTATATGCAGAAAAACTGCAATTTTTAAAATTTTTCAACAAAGCTCGCCGTGTAATAGCGTTTGGGCATTTGGTCCGGCTGATCCAATTTGTTGAGCCCCTGCTTATATAAGCTTTATATGATGAAAAGATCTAATTTACGAAATTTCATGATGACGACTGGTTCATTAGAATAAATTAACAAAGAAGTCAAACTTACCGAATTTGGACCACACAGATCTCTTTTTTTGGATACCTCAGCATATAGGCATTCTTAGGAAATGTAAAGTTTTACTAGGCAAAAAGCCCAATTGTTAATGTTTTATGATGAAAATTTGTTCATGACAGTAATTTGACATAAAACTTAAGTGAACCAAATTTGAAGAACATGAGTCTATTTCTTGAAGCAAGCTATAAAATTTCTCATATATGTTAAGCCCCGTCAGAAAAAGATTTCATGACGAAAATTGATCCATAGTAGCAAATTAATCAAAAAGAATTAACTGTAGGGACTTTGGACCACGTAGGTCTATTTTTTAGGTCCGAAAATATGTGAGAGTCATCAAGAGAAGAGAGTTCTTATATGGAGCGAGAGTATAATTTCGAGATTTCCATAGCAGAAATTGAAAAATTGGAAAATTCTTAGGAAGTAAATTAGGTTTGCTAAGTTTGGAACGCGTCCTATGATATGCTTCCAATATGCAGGCTTTCATGTGACATATGTCTTAATTTGTAATATGTGGTGCCTTATTTGAAAATCGAGCGAGTAATCGCACTGCGCGAAATGGTGTCGGGTATTTTAAGGTCGTCCTTGCTCGATTATAATCTGCTTAACAATTTTGATTGCACGAACGCATACATATTAAGTTCCGAGTTTTTGTAAATCTATTGTTTGCGGATCGCGTATAAATAATATTTCGGAACAACATTGCCGATGCGCTAAGCCAATTGAATAAATCATGGAAGCATATATAAATTTTTAAATGAATCGCACAAATGGCATCTGAGATAGTTGTCAAAGTGTTCGTTCATTCGGAATTTTTTGTATGACGACAAAGACTCGATTTTATTGCATAATTGTTCCAAATTGAGAGAGACAAGAGACTTCGCCATATGTCATACAGCCTTCGAGAAAATGGCGATTTAACAAAATGTGGGAAAATGTGAAAATATGTAAATTTATGCCTTTCTGAGGCGTATGCTTGGATGAGACAAACGCGATATGATAAAAAAAAAAAAATTGTGGAAAAAAAGGAGGTAAGAAGAAAAGTGGTAAAATCGGATTGCCACTGCCAACTCAATATGTTGTAATACACTATGGTTGTATGCACTGCATGTTGTATGCAATGCATTGGCATTGTTTATATTCTCCTCAGGTTGATTAGATTAAAAACTCAACGCACTAATTGTTATTTTGTTTTTTTTTGTTTTTTTTTTTTTTGCTTTTAACTTTCTCTGCATTATCATGTTAAACCTTTGGCTAAACGTACATTGTGCAGTCATTTCACATACACGTTTCCAGACAATCGCATTATAATAAATATTTACTTTAAGATTGCATTACACAATGAGTGAAAAATTCTAAGAAAAATAATACCATTCTATGGTTTGCTTATTGTTGTTTTTGTTAACTTAAGAGATAAGTTAAGATTTCCTTTACGAAACATACTTCAAGTCATAATACGCGCGTACGCTTGTGCATAAGTGTTAATAATAATAGACAAAAAAAAAAAAAAAAAATGTATTAAACAAATAAATGTTGTATACCTAAGCCTATGTTTCGTCAGCAGTCTGCTATCGTTTGTTGTTGTTGTTGTTTTTGCTTTTTTTTTTTCAATTTATTTGTCTCTTTGTTTATTCTGTTTGTTTGTTTCTGTTTTTTTTTTTTTTCTTATGTTTTTCGTTCTTGTTGTTCTCGTCGGTTAAACAGTGCCGCTCGTCGTAGATACGTTGCTTTAAAGGCTACCAAAAGCAAAAATTCTTTCTTTTTTACTATTCTTATTATTATTATTATTATTATTTCAATATGCTTTAGAACTTTGTTATTTGCGTGCACGTTTTGCGAGCGACAGAGTGAATCTTCCTTTACATATTGCATATTAAATACATATTCGTGTACACAAACACAGGCACATATATATGTCTACATATATACCACGTTTTTGTTTTGTCATATAATAGAGCAAGATTTCTAGACAAACACTTGCTGTGGCAACAAAAATCAAGCCTTCGCCAGAGATGTTAAATGCGGTACAGTTGTACTTTTATTTTGCATTTTGTACGGAGCCAGGTCGCAATAAATAGTAGTATAAGCTCTCTTTCATAACATTTTTTTGCCTTTTTGCGGCAGGTAAAGGCAGAAGACGCCCTTTTTTTAGTAGTTTTACTCCTTTCTTCAGAAAAGGAAGAGATTTCATTTTCATTCGTCTTTGAACAAGAAAGGGAACTCTTTCCATGCCTGGTACTTTTTACCGAACCAGTCTAATCGTTTTACTAACACATAATGCCTACACTCAGGGCTTCCTTAGGCTCAATATGTTTTCAGTTGTTTTCTAATCTCACTTTCACGATCCAAGACATTTAAGCAAAGTTCTAGACTAGAGCACAAGCGAATCTTTATATATAACTGAATCGATTTATAAAGCTTCTTGAGCCCCAATGACAAAATCCTTATTTTATTTTCTTAACATATGCTGGCTTTGCTCTCATATACTAAGGCCTTTTTGACATAACTTTACGTTGGAAACTTTAACGAAGAGCGTTGAACGACATTTAACTTTTCTAAGTTCTGGAGCTTGTTTTAAACAAAATCATGACTCACTTCAATTTTTTTTTGTTCTGAAACACTTGACACTTGAAGATTGCCGAACCAATTAATTCGACTCATCAAATTGAATGAAATGGTTTCGGAAATCTTGGAAGAGATACTCGACTATTGGAAACATTAGCTTTAATGAGTGCACGATTTTCTTAGAGATTGAGATAGAAACTGAGCTGCAGCAATTGAGAATTGTACAGCATGAGCACTTGTCGTCGTCTAAAGGTAGAGGAGAGACGGCCAGAGTTAAGAAAATTTCCACCCACGGTGTTGTCTCTATTGCATTGTTTGCTGATGAAACGATAAAATTCTTACGATCCCGATCTTCGTATAGACGAAGAGTTATAGAAAAAAGATTTCTTTGGCCCTTGGTTCCCATTGCAAACATTTTCCTAATCTTGGGAAAGAAATCATTTATCTTCTGTAGCGGAAAAGTATTCAATCTGTGAAAAAAAGTACATTTGTTATGTTCTTAAAGTACAAATTAATAAACTCAAGTATCAACACTGGACGATAGGGGAAGCAGTGAGAAAGAGAGGGCAAGAGAGATGTTTAGGGGAAAGAAGAAAAGAGTTATGCATACAATTATGTACATTATTAGTATGAGATTTGCAATGTTAAGCACACAAATATCTGAACACATGCTTGTACGTACATCATCATCCATTCATTCCCTCTTTCGCAGATGTAACGTAAACGCAAAAATCTATCTATGCATGTTGGGCATATTTTTGCATGTATATGTTTGTACAGAATAAATGTTCTGTACAAAGTTTAACGACCTTCTTAAATAGAAAACATTTATTACACGTCGTACACTTATATTTTTACTTCTTTCCTTATTTATTTAAAAAAAAAAAAAATGAAAAAAAATATGAAAAAAAAAATTAAAATAAAAATTCTTTAGTAAACATATGCTTTAACGTGTAAGTGAAGCAAATTTTTGATTTCATGGTTACTAAGTAATTTGTGTAGAAAAGTGATAAAGTCATGTTGAAAGTAAATTTAAAAAAAAAAAAAGAAAAACAAAAAAAATTATAATTCTTCCGCTTTGCTGTTTACGAACTTTCTTACACTGCACTTTCACGGAGCCTGAAATAATTGGAAACTTTGTCACTTGACAATACTTATAAGAGAGATTCGTGCGATCATTACGCAATTTTCATTCCATTCGTTCGTCTTTCGAATTCTCGAATTTCGTAAATAATTCATATAAGAAGCATTTCTGATGACAAGAATGAATGAATGTCAACATATCGTCTTCGTTGTCGCTTGATTGCAATAATATTTCAGTTGATTGTAATGAATTTTCAAACTTTCATTCTTATTTGAGTAAAGAATTTTCGACAAAAAGATAAAAAAAATTATACGCACAATAGTCAGCTAAATATTTTCTTACTGTAGTACACACTTATTAAGCTAGAAGAAGAACTTAGTTCATTCTGCGTTTATTTGTCAAACTTTTTAAATGAACTGCAAACTTAACTAACGCGTACCGACATATACTGACTGGTTATGAAAAAAAAAAAAAAAAAAAAAAAATGTCAAGCTTACATATATGGAAAAAATAACAATTGTTAAGAATTATTTTCTAGTCACGTATAATTTCAATCAAGCTGTTGTTGTGTTTGGTAATATCATCAGCAGCAGCACAACGCAATAGCAATAACAACGGCAACCACCACACCATCATCATCATCATCATTGTCAGCATTCAGAAAAGAAAGTCTGTACACATATATACGTATAAGATTAATGAAGAAAAAAAAAAAAAAAGAAAAAAGTCTCTTATATAGAATAAAGACGCACAAACAAACAAATATACAAGCGCTTGCAAGCGCACATACGCACATACGCACATACACTTACACC